GCCCTATATCAAAAACCCTCCAAAAAAAAAAAAAAAAAAAGCAAATCGTATTTCAGTCTGGAGCTCAGGGGCAATGATTGCAAAAAAGATGAAAATGTGTGAATCACCTGTATATGAATGGTATTTAAACCTTGGAATTGAATGAGCTTACCGTAGAGAGAGAGTGAAGATAGGGAACATTCTTGAGTCTGAGGTTCTATGACATTAAGAAGAGAAGCCAGCCAGGGAAGCTGAGAGAACAGACCAATGAGGAAGAAAATCTGTAGAGTATGACACTATGTATGCAAGTTCAAAGAATTGTTTCAGGGAGGAAGAAGTTGCCAATTATGTTCAACAGTGCTGAGAAGATGGGATTGTCGGAAAACTCATAACGTATTTTTCTATGTAAAAGTGTGTTGTGACTTTTCAGACAACTCAATAAAAGCAGTGAATGACCATCAAATTCAACAAGATTGAGGTCTTTGGTGGCCTTCTAAGAGTTATTTCAGCAGACTCTTAAGGATGCAGTTGTAACTAGAATGGATTCAGGGACCAATGAGGTGAAGAAGGGGAGACAGAATACACACAAATCTACAAAGTGGTTTTGCTTTGAAGGGAAGTAGAAAACAGAACAATAGGCAGGATACAAATTTTATTTACATTTTTTTCTTTTAACACTATAAGCTATACCTGAGCATCTTTTACTTTTTCTTTCTGATTTTTGTTTTGTTTTCAATCCTTGAGGCTGTTTTTTTTTTTGGGTGGGGATGTCAGGACCCTCACACGCATTCTGGCTCATTTAAGACCACCAATGACTTTTTCCTTTAAGGCAGAGCCTACGATACATAATCTTCCATTTTTCTCGATCAGCTCAATCTGTCAAATGTCCAAACTCCCTTTACCTGGGCCAACTAGTCACTAAAGAAACAAACTGAGGCCTGCAGGTGGTGTAGTGGTTAAGGTGTTGAATTCCCACATAAGGAGAACTATGGTTTGAGTTCCAGACCTGGCAGCTTGAAACTCATGCCAGGTGTATGTGCGTACATGCCCCAAATCATAATAGGAGAATGGAGAAGGGACTGTGGTGTGGCCATATCTCCTACGGGGTCATTTCTCGCTTTCAGTATGCCTGTCTATCTCTCTCTGTCTCTCTGGTGAGCACATGAACTCTACGGCAAACATCTCTAAAAAAATTTTTTTTCTCCTAGTGAAATGTCCCTTTTCCCCCCAAAAAAAGTTGCCTAGAAATAAGATATTCTAAGTGATAGACATTATGAAAGATGTCTCTCTAATGAACATAACATTTCCAATGTGCTCCAGGTTTATACTCCTTTGATGACTGAAAGTGTTACCTCAACTTCAGTTCCACAATAATTTCTTAGGGTTTGCTCAGTAGGTTAAAAGTTGATGCTGAGAATGAAATACAGAATTTGAGTCTATAAGTGGCATTTGCTTATTCTTTGAGAGTTAAGTAGCTGGGTGTGGAACCAGATAAGACTGGTTGCATATTTGTTTCTCTTCCTGAAATACAGTCAAATACTACCACAGTCTGTAAGAACCAAAGGGAAACAGTATTATTTTCAATTATTGATAGCACTTGTAGCCAGAACTTCTATGGAGTCATTTACTATGTCTTCCAGAAATACTTTAGCAGAGTGATGGTGAGGCACTTCCAATAAATCCTGCAATCAACTATAAGTGGTGACAAAAATACGAGGTGTGGTAGAATCATAAACTTAAAAAATAGCTCAAACATATGTTAACTCAATCAACAAATATTTAGTGAAGGAACATGTACAGAAGATCAGATAGTCTTTCCACAAAATCCAGATACTGATTAACTTGAACCAGGATGGTGGCTGTAGGGATGTGAAGCAGTAAAATTATGGGTATTAGGGATTTGCTGACAGATACGTATGGGATGTGAGGAAAAAGACAGAGTTGCCATTAACTGAGGTAAGGTTTCAGGGTACAGATCAAAAGCACAGTTTTGGACATGTGAGGTGTGAGAATTTTTTAATAGACATTCAGGTGGAGGTATTGAGAAGGCACTTGGACAAAATAAACCTGGAATTCAAAGAAGAGGTGTGGGCTGGGAAAAATGTCAGCTTCCAGAGGTGAAAGCCACGAGACTGGGGTAAATATCATAGGGAGTGTGTATAAACAGAAAATACACCAATGTTGGAGGTCAAGCAGACAAGGTAGAGATTAGGAGACATCCATGAGGAAAAAAGGCTTGTGAAATAGTGTTTTAGAGAAATGAAGGAAGTGTTTCCAGAAGAAAGGAGAGGTCAATTGCTAACAAGTCAAGTAAAATGAGTACTGGGAAATGAAAGAGCAATGTGGCTAGCATAGTAATGGAGGATGTTCAGGAGAGTGTGAGGTGCAAAAATGAAGGCAGGAAGTCTGAAGTTCTTTTGAGTCATATTGTCAAGGAGAAAAATGGAGAGGAAGTTTTTATTTATTTACTTTTTTAAAAGATGAGGAAAAGAATAGCATTTTTATAATCTGAGGAGAAGGATCTGGGTGAGGGGAAAACTGTGGCTTCAGGAGCCACATCCTTCAGCGAGTGTGTAAGTGGAGGGGTTTGTTTTTGCCTGGAGCACGGACCATTCATCCACTGAAAGAAGAGAAAAGGTAGGGTTTATAGGCTTGGCTGCGAAAAGCAGGTAGATATGAGGGTGGGGACTTGGGCAATTTCTATTTTGTTTTTATTTTCTCAGTAAAGTAAAGAAAAGATCATTAGCTGAGAATGAAGATGGAAGAGCAGGTACTAAAGGTCAGGTAAGAGAACAGAAAAATGAAGAACTAGAGAAAAACAAAGTAGTACATAAACCTATATATGTAAGTTACTTTCCTCTTCAAATTAGACCTCTTAGGAGACAAATCTCTGTCACTGTAAGTAAATAAATACATAAAAATCCACTTGGAAGTAAGTATGAAGAATAAGGTCTGTGATTTAAACCAGATATTCCTATTTTGGACCAAATTAGGGGATCCCTCAAGATAACTCGAGTGTACCCATCAGGAAGATCAAAATGCTAGCCCTGAAGGGGGACCAGCAGTTAGCGTAATGGCTATATCACTGGACTCCCATGTAGTCGACCATAGTTTGAGTCCCGGATCCGGTGGCTTAAACTCACGCTGGGCGTGTGTGCGTGTGTGCCCGAGAGCCTGAGAGGAGAATGGAGGATAAGGAATTGTGGCCATTCCCCCTGGGAGATGATTTCTTGCTTTCTGTCTCTCTCTGTCTTTCTGGAGAGTGCATGTGCCCTATAGCAAAAACTTCTCCAAAAAAAAAGCTAGCCTTTCTCTTTGTTTTAATATAGACCAAATCAAATATAAATGATCTTCATATTAATAACACTAAGATACTATAATATTAAGAAGCAAAATATTAAACTACTTTTTATAGTATTTTAATTTTTAATTCAATTTTCATTTTTTGCTAATTTATGTGTTTGCTGATCACCTACCCAACCTTAACTATTTCATAAAATATGAGATATCTTAAAGTCCAGGAACTCTACATAGAAAAGAATATTGAGGAGGCATATGTCTGAGTTGTCACTGCCTGCCTTTCAAGAATAGTATTCCACACTGTTTAACAGTCTGGACAAACCATCTATCATTCGGAAAGTAATAAATGAGAGGAAACTGTATATTCTCTTTTACAATTTTCCCTGGAACAACTAATACAAAATTTACTACTTTAAAGTTAACACTATGTTTAGAAAAATAAAATAAGTATTAGGAGAGCCTGCAATACCAAACCTAGGTTTAGAAAGTAAAGGCATCAGTAAAATGAAAATTAAAAATCTTTCAAGGTGTGATCAGATGCTGGTACAGTGGTAAAAAGTGATGCTTTGTGAGGGACTACCACATGGGAAGGTTCCTAGTTCAAGTCTGGAGAACTCCCTGAGTATGCTGGGAGTATGCTGGGCACATGATAATGATGGTGGGCTGATTTAAGGCTGAGAATGGACTATGGTCTCAAGGTACCATGGGGGTGCTATCTCTTATTCTCTCTCTTGATCATAAAAGAAATAAAGAAACTTAAACAGTTTCAAGGAAAAATCATACATCTGTGGCAGTACTAAAGGATCCCTCCTTCTGGGGTTACCAGCAGGCTATTTTCTTGATCAAACTTAACATTTACAATAAAGATGGTAAATTACTGTTCTGTCACTATGGTATAGCAACAGAGAAGGGGATATAAACATAAAATGTAAATTTAAAAATGAGAATAGATATGTAGGCTTTTATTAAAGCAAGCATTTCTATAATAATGCAGATCTCTTTAAAACAAGTAATTATCCCAGAGACAATTGTTAATGATTCAAAATAAAGTACAAATTAATGAAATTAATTATAAATGAATACATTTCTACATATAATCCAACAAGTCTTCTCTAGATGTTTTTCTACCTCTCTAGACTTTTAATGTCATGATCTAATTATATTATTTACCAAGTAAGAATGACATAATGTGAAAATCATAATTAATACCAATGATGCAGATGATACCATACTTGCCAAAGTATAGAAATATACTTGACCTAATACATTTATGAATCCTGTTTTATATCACAAAATCAACTTTACTGGGCAAAATTCTGTTGAAATTTCAGACAAAAACAGACATAATTTAAAAATCTTGTCAGATAAGGAAATATACAATCATTATTTGAATGTAAAACAATACTATAAAGCAAAAAGTTGTCAAAATACAGAAGCAGTATTCTGAAACAAATGAAAAATCAGAAACAGTATCAACTATTTCTAAAGTATAATAGATACTGAAATGCCAATGAGAAAAATGAACAGAGCTACTTCCTAAAGTGGTGGTGACAATGGTCAGAGGTGGGTTTTAAAACTACAAGAAACCTGGAGCCAGCAGATAGCATGATGGTTAAGGCGTTGGACTCCCACATGGCCTACCAAGTTTCAAGTCCTGGACCTTTGGCTTGAAAATCACACTGCACATGTGCGTATGTGTCCAAAATTCCAGGAGAGTGGAGGATTAGGAATTGCAGCATAGCTATCCCTCCTGAGGGGTGATTTTTCACTTTTTCTCTGTCTCTCTGGTGAACACACCTTATGGCAAAAATTAAAGAAATAATAAAAAAAAAAAAAACTACAAGAAACTTAGTGAATTAACTTACCACCTTCTTCAAATGAAAGACCCTCTTGGGAGAATTAAAGCACCATTAACAGGCATATCTCATAGCAGTTAATGAAATGCGTGATTTTTCTGTAGCAGACTATTTCAATGGTGAAAACGAAGTAGGAATCAGAAGCATATTCTGCTGAGAAACTATGTGGTTGACACTCTCCCGAACTGGAAAAACAATTCATAAGAGGGCAGAGTTACAGACTGAACCAAATTTGTTCTAAAAATAATTCATGCCTAATGAAATGGCTTACCAGCTGCCACAACTCGGGGATCCTCATGAGACTGATGTCTCCCAGCTGCACGACTTTCTGCACTCTCGTTCCACCAAAGAACATGAACTACAGAAGAAAACCACAAATAGATTCTAAAGAATATGATACTAACAAATCAGAAATATAGAAACATAAATCAGAAATATCTTATTTTTAAGTCAAAATAGTGATATGATCAAGTACAACTAATTCTGTCAGTGATGATATTTCAGAGGAATCAAAGACTTGATGACTAAAGACACAATTAAGACTAGGTCCAGGTTTCATGACTTCCTACACTTTATTAAATTAAAAAAAAAAAGGCAGACTATAAGAAAATAAGATTAGCATAATTTTAACTGCCTAAATAAACTTCTACTGGAACCAGCAGATGGCATAATGGTTACATTGCTAGACTTCCACGTAGTCGACCGAGGTTCAAGTCCTGGACCCGGTGGCTTAAAACTCACACCAGGTACGTGTGCATGCATGCCCAAGGTCTTGAGAGGAGAATGGAGAAGAAGGGATTATGGCGGTGTCGCCATCCCCCTCAGGGGGTGATTTCTCGCTCTCTGTCTCTCTGACGAGTGCATGTGCCCTGTAACAAGAATCACTCAAAAAGTAAATAATAAACTTCTACTAATATATGATGTATTTCCTTTAAAAAAGTTGAGTAAACTAAATTAGGTTTTTACTGTGTTTTATGCTTAATTAAGAGAATTTTAAGTATCAACAATATGAGAATTTTCTAATTCAATGATACTAATTTTAATGGCTATAAGAACTCCTCTGGGTCAGCAGATGGTATGGAGGTTAAGGGGGCTGAATCACACATGGCTGACTGCGCAATTTGAGTCTAGACCTGGCACCTTGAAAAACACTCCAGGCATGTGTAAGCCTATGCCAAACACCCTGATAGTAGAAATGAAGAAGAAAGGATTGCTGTAGGACATTCCCCATGGAAGGTGCTTTCTCACTTTCCCTCTCTCTCTCTCTTTGAGCTAATTAAAAAAAAATTTCTTATCTATATGACAACATTTTATCCCAACTGTTTATAGTTATTAAGATTACTCCCAATATTTCAGTATTTTAAGATACTGAAATAAATGTTCTTATACATATTTATAAAATTTTTATAATTAAATTTACTACATGTTAGCTGTACAGGTTTAAAAAAATGCAGATACATAAAGGCGAAAGTAAGAACTATTTCTAATCCTACCATCCTAAAATAGCCACTTTTCTATTTTACTGCATCTTTTCCATATTTAGATATATGTAATTTTTTTCTGTAAAAAATTTATGTATTTATATATACATAGCATATGTGTTTATGCTTACAGGTGACACATGGGTGTATATATAT